CACCATTTACCCCCTGCAGTGTGAATTATTGAATAAAAACAGTAAATAAGTAAGAATGAAACAGGTTCTGAAGTCCTTTTTCAATATCTTATACACAACGTTGGATTTAACATAAGATAGCACGTTCGCACATCAGTTAAAATAAAGCCATATTATTTATATGCATAGCAACTGTTTTCATTTACATCGCTATAGTTTAATAGGATAAAAAATTGCTCCCGTTCTTCCAGTAAAACAATGATTTTTGCGAAAAAGTTAACTCTTAAAAATAATTATAGAACATTAGTTTTTGGTGTGCTATATAAAGTAGTTACTGTTTTTTTTCCCACAATCAAATCATCTGATAACTCTTCCACATACTGACCTGAATTTTAATAAAATTTATTTAATTGAAGATTTTCGCTCTTTGCAGATTCTAGCTACTGGATTGGTTCATTTTTACCGTATTATTTTTAAAATTATGTTGGTATGACACATACTAATCAGAGGCAGACTTAAGTATAGAAGTGTAGTCATTTAAAGAAGTCTGTTACGTTCAAACTAAATAAAATATGGCAGATTTAGTTTTGACTAAACTAGTTTTATTTGGAACTGTAGTCTTGTCTTTTTAAAAATGGATTTCTCTGTGAGAATTTCACCACCTTCGGGGGAAAGGTAAAAGTTTGTAGGTGGTGTATAGTAGAAAGAATAAAAAAAGTTACACAAAAATATGATTAAAAGTCCCAAATTATTCAGCTGTTTGGATTGAAAAATATTTTATTTTTTTAGGTAGCTGATATTTTCTTCATATTTGTTACGTTTTAGCACGCTAAAATTTGCTAAATCTTAGGTATCGTGTTTTCAGGCATTTTGATTTGGTTCGGGATCTCCGACAAAATAAGGGTACAATTCTCAAGGCGACTGTGGATTACCTGCGCTGTTTGAAAAAAGAAGTTTGTAAAATCCCTCAAATGGAACAGAAACAGAAATTGCTGGAGCAACAGAATAGGAAGCTTCTCCTTAGAATACAGGTTTGTTCTTGCTGAAGTCTTAGCTTCCATTATTATCAGACACAATACAGGTTTGTTTTTGTTTTTTAGCTTCTGTTATTATCAGACAGAATAGAGGTTTTTTTTTTTAACTTCCATTATTACCAGACAGAATACAGGTTTGTTTTTGCTGAAGTCTTAGATTCCATTATTATCAGACACAATACAGGTTAGTTTTATTTTTTAGCTTCTGTTATTATCAGACGTAATACAGGTTTGTTCTTGTTGAGGTCATAACTCCTATTATCAGACAGAATACAGATTTGTTCTTACTGGTAATAATGGATGGAAGCTAAGACTTCAAACAGAATACAGGTTTGTTCTTGTTGAAGTCTTAGCTTCTGTTATTATCAGATTCAATACAGGTTTGTTCTTGTTGAAGTCTTAGCTTCTGTTATTATCAGATGCAATACAGGTTTGTTTTTGTTGAAGTCTTAGCTTCTGTTATTATCAGACGCAATACAGGTTTGTTCTTGTTAAAGTCTTAGCTTCTGTTATTATCAGACGCAATACAGGTTTGTTCTTGTTGAAATCTTAGCTTCTGTTATTATCAGATTCAATACAGGTTTGTTTTTGTTGAAGTCTTAGCTTCTGTTATTATCAGATTCAATACAGGTTTGTTTTTGTTGAAGTCTTAGTTTCCGTTATTATCAGATGCAATACAGGCTTGTTCTTGTTAAAGTCTTAGCTTCTGTTATTATCAGATGCAATACAGGTTTGTTCTTGTTGAAGTCTTAGCTTTCTTTTATTATCAGATTCACTACAGGTTTGTTCTTGTTGAAGTCTTAGCTTCTGTTATTATCAGATTCAATACAGGTTTGTTTTTGTTGAAGTCTTAGTTTCTGTTATTATCAGATTCAATACAGGTTTG